CCTGCTGGATCCTGTTGGAGACACAGGGAAGTTTAACAATGGAAGAAGAGCAAGAACAGTGTCAGGAAAAGACCTGCTGCACACGGTGGTGTTGGCAACATGGCTGAGATAAAGCTACTCTAAAAATAAGCACTATTAAGGTCACGCTTACCAACATTATTCACATGAATACATCTGCAAACATAGAAACCAACAACACATTTATGACCCTTTACATCCAGCACATTGTCATGTGAACTCAATCACCCCTGCCGCCCACACAAGACATTTAGGAGTGGGAGGGGGGTATGAGGGGGGGGGCAACTTAACAACATGGTATCAGAAAAACAAAACATGGATTCTAACATGGTCATCATTTAAACTGAGCCTCTTTTCCAAATGTGTTCATTATAAGTTTTCGTCCTCCTTCCACTGACACTTTTTAATGACTAGGTTGCTTTGACGTAATTATGCGAACCCCCCCTCAGCCTCCCCACACCCCCCTCCCTCGCAAAAGACGAAGGGAAAATGACAAGCAGTTCCACTTTCATGCAATTTCAATATGGCTTAAAGCAGATGAGTGGGTGGTGGGACTGCTGCTTTGGGTTAAGAACCTACACCATGACCTATCCTGCTTTCATCTGTTTCCAATGATGGGTTCGCTGCACAACATCCCTTTGTGATGGGAAAAAAACATTTCTGCTATAGAAATGACAGAAATACTGAAGACTTGGCCGTAATGAAGGCAAACGGACGTGAAGGCACCGTCGAGGAACATAAAGGAGATGAAGCAGTGACGTAGGGCAGGAGAAAAGAAAATGATGTGATGGTGGAGGAAAGAAATGCCATTACAGAGTGGGCGGCAAAGCGGAGGCGGCAGCTTAAATCACGACCAACACGAATAGTGGGATGAGAGGAGTAAAGTGATGGAAGGGGAAGGGTACAGTCATGTTGGAGGAGCAGCATCACCAGCACGGTGTTGAGCAGAGCGGCTCAGAGGGAAACAAACAAAATGACCTTAACTACCACCTCTGAATCTGTCCACCTAACGTCAGCTGCTGTGTCAAGATCACTGACTGTACATGAAAAGGACGGAGGGCTGTGTTTACACACGGAGTGCTGGGCTCCTTCAAGAGCAACCCTGGCAAAGCTGCTCGATCGAAAGAGTCAGTGCTGAACTGTGAGAATGATCCACTCGTCTGAGTGACAGAACATTCATAAAAACTGGAGGGAGTTACGGCGAGAAAACATGAAAACTGATTATGACGACAGGATCTGTAGAACTTGTCACTTGACTTATAAATTCAGCAGAAAAAAAAGGAAATATAATAATAACGTGTAGTGTAACCATCGTTGCCAACAGTTTCAAGCATCAGGTCACTACAGCCGTTACTGTTTACAGCTATATTTACAGCAAATAACGTCCCTGTCCGAAACCCCTCCTTGTTGCATTCTTTATTTAAAATATCAATATAAAAAATAATGTTTTATTCCTGGTATCATAAGCCTTCACACCAAGAATGTTTCCTCGATCGATGTGCGGCTGGCTTTGTTTCACTCCATGGTGCTAGCACTGGAACGAGGTGTTTCTGCGGAAATAACACGTTTCTGTACATGGTGGACTGCAGTTATGTAACAACGAAGTCCCTTTGTTCAACGTAGAGATTTTTCTTCCTTAGCAAAGACTCTTTGACGAAGCCGCTCTCCTGGAGGAGTTAAAGTGATCTCAATTAGCAGCGCTGTGAAGTCGTTTCTCTTTGACTCGCCTCTGTTCTCCTGTTTACAACACACACACAGACACACACACCAGCTCACCCACATGTTCCGTGGACATAGTCATAGTCCACAAGACAATAAAAGTGGAATAATAGTATGTGTAGTTTGTATATTGTATTTGTGTGAATACATTAAACCATTTTATTCAGACGTCAAACGTCAAATAACTCGCTGAAACCCCAAAATACTAAGAAAAAGAAAAATACTGAGTTTTCATTAATGCTGCTAAACATTGTGCAGCATATTTGAGACCATCAAAGTGAAACCAAGATTTTTTTGACTAATTCAAATTGTCCAGTATCTTTTTTGATAAATGATTCTCACAGAGTTTAATTCAAGGAATGCAGTTTAACCGGTAAAAACCAAACTAAGATTTAAATGAACTACCGACAACCCCTGTGTTAAGCCTGAATAACCAGTGAAAGATAAACTATTCTGCTGGAAGGGTTTCTGGTATATATGTCAGGAAACTGCTGTTGATTTTAAATGGGAACAAATACAAATTCTAAAATTAATTAATGGTACATTTTATTCCTACGTATGGTGTTGTGATGGGACTATTGTGTCAGAAATGACTGTAAAAACAGGTCAATGGTTGTCTGGACATCTGGAAGGTTGTGGGTCTGATTCCAGATTCCTAAGGTTGTACAGTACGCCACCCACAGGTAGATGGCAAACCCTGTAGTGTTTAAATAATCATGAAAAGTGCGGTAAAAACACAGAACATTTACCAAATATTTCCCAAGTTCAATTTCAGTTCAATGCAGAATATTTAGAAAATGTCTTTTCACAGTCTCTTAGTTAACGGTCTTTAGGAGGCGAGTGGTCTTCAGACTAGACTACAGAGAACCTCAAGAAGGAAAGAATGACTTTTCCCCAAATACTTCACCATATTTATTTTAAGTCTTTTATATATTTTTTCTCCTTCAATCAAATGCGTCTCAAACCCGTTTTGAAATTTCCATTGTTCTTCCACGTTCTGTTTCAAACTCAAATGGCTGTGCACAAAAGGTAAACATGGAGAGTAAAACACAATAATGGAACCCACCATAGTGGATGGAACCACCTCCAGGGAGGTGGGAGGCATCGGTAGCACAGAACTGTGCCTGGTCTGCCAAAGACTACAAACAACCAACCACCAGGAGAAAAAAAAAAAAAAAAAGTCTTCATTTCTGTGGGCTGGTTCTCAGGACAGGCCACTCAGTGTTGACTTTGAGTCACAGCCCATTTACACCAAGGTGTAGCCCAGAGAACACCAGCACAAGAAGTAGAGAAGAGTGACACCGGTGTTTCTTACAGGTTATATTATTGGAAAATTCCAAAAATGAAAAATAATTACTGCAAATTAAACTTCTTTTTAATTTTGTATTATTACCATTAAAAGGTCAACAGAAAAGCAAAAGACAACACATACAGGTTAGGACCAAATACCATATTAATTGTCACATCAGACCAAACCAATGACACATGAACTAGGAATGCAGCGAATATTGTTGTATCTTTTTAACATTAGCACTTTGTTGAAATAGTCCAGCAAAGAACATTTTAAAATGCACTAGACTACTTTGTGTTTCTATAAGAGAACATATGGAAGAACATTTTAAAATGCACTAGACTTAAATGCACTTTGTGTTTCTATAAGAGAACATATGCATTATTAGTTATGTAATAATATGTACATAATTATTTAATCTACTCAAGATGAAAAAGAAAAGTATTTTGAATGTTATTTTGTGCATTGTTAGAATGTGCTAAATACATATTTTCATAATTTAGAAGAAAATAATTTGAATTAGAATTGATTTATAATTAAAACATTAATATACATTTATACAATGACAATGGTCTGGTCAAAACAGACCCTGATGATCTTGTTGTTCAATTTCCTCTAAATAGGATTAATATTTTTGCAAAAATGATATCATGTTTTTTTAAGAAAGATCCAATGCTTCACTATGCAACTTCAACCAGAGGCCTGATGGTTTTCTCCATGTGTATATATACATATTTTGAGTCAGACATTCATAGACAAAATTAAATCACAATAAAAGCCAAAAACAACATGAAAAAATGGCTCTGTCTCATGCAAACAGAAACTTAGCTGCATGTGAAATAAAGACATGTAATAAATCACACTGACATAATTACTGACACAAGAACAAAGTGGAGCTACAACAACACTCACCCTCAGAGCTGCGAGGTCGATGTCATCCAGGCTTCGTGTGGGGGCGTTTTCAGACATGGCTGGCGAAACTTAAAACGCTGGCTAACAACTTAGCCAGATATTAAACAAGAAGTACTGGGAAAAAATGTTCGCTAAAACACGCTTTAAAATGTCTTTATGTTGCTCCTAGATTATCAACCTCATCGCAGATGATGAGGGTGATGATGATGATGATGATGGAGCGGCCACAGACGCACCCAGTGGGGCGAAGATCACGTTAACTCCAGGGATGAGCCGCGATGCTACTTGCGGTTGTTTTTAACGCAAAAAAATCCTACGAAAGAGGAACGTCGGGATCGAAGTACAGGCAACTTGTCTCAGTGAAAGATTCCAACAGCAAACCGCGTCACCGCTAGCATCGGTACCGCTCCGAGCAGAACTGGCAGGCGTTCAATGCAATGCACCTCCAGTGTTGTTGGTGAACACCTTGCTGCGTTCATTTCCAGCAGACATCCCAGAAAATGTAGTTCTTAGAAAATGTAGTTATAAAAAAAAAGATTCTAACTCACCCAGATATACGTGGTTAAAATGACAGACAGTCTTAATCACACTGAGAAACTACAACGCAGTGCTAGTGTTTTTTTTAGGAGAACGCAACGTCTGTATCGATGATGGCGCCCGGGTCCGTCCGCACCAGAACCGACCGACACTCACTCACTCACTCAATCAGACCGTCATTATTTTCAGCCTTGAAAAATAACATTTCCTCCCTCGGAAAAAAAATGCAGGATTGTCAAAAATTCTGTGGTCACAGCGACTCGACGTAGTTGTGTCAAACTTATAAGCAGAGCCTTTAAAAATGTGTCAGTAAATTTCGTTTACATTACGTGACAGTCCGAACACCGAGTCAGGTGCGACGAATCGGTAGCTAACGTGGCTACGCTAACGGACCGAGGTATCCTTGCTTCCGCGTAAAGTTTCCTTCTTCATCCATTTTCCGTGTTGTCAGTCGCGCCTAGCACCGCCAACCTTCCGGGGAAAATAAAAAACACAGGAGGCAGGGAGAGAAACGGACACTAACCGCTGTCTTTTCGCCTACTCAGCTTATATGGGCCCGGCAGCCTCTCGGGTTTTAGGGCTCGATGTCGCTCGCCGGTGTCCAAGAGAATATCTAAACAGTTTTCCTCGTCCAAGACTGTGGAATGGGGTGCAGTAAGAAACTACAGCTTTCTGCCAAACTTGTTATTTCGCCATGTTTTGCTTCCCAAATGCTCCCGCCTCCTTCCCGCCCACTTCGAGCCCTGCTGTAGTCCTGCGGGCTGCTCTCTGCTGATTGGCTGAGCTCAACACTCCTCATGTGTTCCCTGCGCTTGAAGAGACTACGGCGGCCTCACAGGAAAAAATACTTAAAACTTTTTTTTTTGGTAATTTTAATTTAACAGAATAAATATTAATGAAATACAAAATGTTACTGTCGTCTGTAGGAATGTATAAATTGTTGTAATCTTTACTAAAACCTTTCCCCCTACACATTCAGGACGACGCCATGTTGGATCGTCATGTTTTAATATTTAAACTGTTGGCTTGTTGGTGGGCTAGTAATGCTTGTTTATGTAAATAAAAATTAATTTTTCAAACTAGTCATTACACAGTTTAGTAAGTACATAAACATATCTCGATATATTTTTCGATAATTACTAGACTCCATGAATATAGAATAAAACCACTATTTTAACTGCAACATATCTATTAAAAAATAAGTACAGTCAATTCAAAAGTTAATAAAAAGTTTATTCATCTAAAATGCCATGTCCTTTATACACTGTACTAAAATTACAACATTTAGTGAAAGAATGTGAACTGTATTTCTTGGCCCTGAGGGTGAGTAACATTAATACATGAACCTGTACAATCAACCTACACCTACAAATATCCATGTAATTGCCATGGGACGACTCCTGTTAGACAAAAATTAATTTCTTTTATTAACATATTTCTACATGTAAATGGTAACGCTGGCTAGTACCTAACTCAATATGTAGTTTATATTTTTAAGGTCACTTCTCAGTTTAGTACAGACATATCTGCAATTAAAAGAAATAAATTGAGCTTCTTTTTTTTTAGAGAAAAATAAAATGTTCTGGAGTGAAAGGGTTTATAAAAGATGTTCATATCCTCCAATGAATCACTGTGAAAGAAACAAAACATCTGTAACCACTGAAGGTTTTACTGGCTATTCTGTGAACGGAGACATTCAGTGAAGTAGTGAAGACTCTTACTCACTGAACAGGGATGCACGTCATGCACATCTCTGTTTATCACATATGACACAGAGTAATGGCTCAAAAGAAACTGTAATACAGCATAAATATAAGTTCTTATAAAAAATGACTTGCAGCCAAATGTTAACTTCTTTTCTAGTCTAAAAGACAAAGATAATTTCCATTCCTAATTTGTTGGGTTGTTTTGTTTTTTTCAAATTCAGGGCATACAGGCTAAAATATGAACAACATTTGTGACGTTGCCTAAATCCAGAGCAGATCATTTATAAATGCTGGTTTTGTTAGCTGTGAGTGGCCGCAGACGTCACCACAGTTCACCCTGCCCTGTTGATGCTGCCCAGACGACTGTCAGAAGAATAATTGTACAGTTTTCACCCCACATTAAAAACCTTTAAATAGTGGAAATTATACTAGAGAATCCAATTTTCTCACATTTGATTTACGGCTGTGGGAAAATTCCAATACGAACACGGCATCTAAAGTCAGTTACACTGGCATTTCCAAACAAATTCAAGCGTTATTGAAGACGCTTTGATCTGGATTTACCATCTAATGTACAGACTCTTCAGATGGTGAAGTAGTTGTCACAATATTCACTGTGGCTCAGATGAAGGAAATTTAACTTTGAAATTGATAAAAGGATAAATGTAGCAACCATTAATATGTAGTGTTAGAAAAAATACTACAACAGAAACATCCTGTCAAACTATTGAAACAGAATATAGAAAAAAAATAAAAATAATAAAAATGCTGCAATAAAATGCTGATGTACATCAGTGTTCTGACCAGGCACATTGTTATTTATTTCACCTTGTCCCCCCCCCCTCCCCCCCTATTGTATCTTATGTTTAACACAATAGATTTTTCCAGATTTTTCTCAGTCTGATTTTCACATATTAGCCTCTGTTTCCTGCTACAGACGCTCATCACTTATATCTCCCTCTCTCTTTTTTTTTGCACTTTTAAATCCAGTCTTTATTTCTGTTCCAAACCATCATCTTTTTATATCCGTCACCATAACAACCACAAATGTTCTGACAGATTTGTTGGCTCTGTAGAGAGAGGTGAAGCTTCCGAGGGAGAGAGGGAGAGTGAGAGACAGAGAGGGAGAGGGGGGGAGAAACAGAGAGTGAGTGATGGAGAGGGAGGCAGTAAAACCCACCCACCCACCTCACATCTCTGCTCGTATACATGTACACAGTGTTCCCAGAGAATGTCAGGAGTCTGATTTCCAGCACTGCCTCTCCTCTCCTCTCCTCTCCTCTCCTCTCCACACTCGTCCCACCCATACATTCATTTTTAGTGTTTTCTTCACGTCCTGTCCTGCAGTTCAGACTGTTTCCAAACCTGCGAATTTCATTCACGCTGTTAGCACCTCCCCAAAAGAGGGAGTTGGAGATAACACTAGACACTCGAGGCTGGTCGACACGGCAACCGCCGCCAGCGACTATAACCCAACAACTGTAAGTGTGAGTTTAAATTTAAAGCGAAAATGAAAATTGACTGTCTGCAGAACTGAGATTTAGAGATCCTCGTTACCTCTGAGTAAAGCAGGACAGCACTGCTTGTTAGCTGTTAGCAAGTAAGCTAAACGTGTCTTAAAACACATCTATTTTGGTCTCACTCAAATTCACTTCCACAGTTCCACTCTATTTTTGCTCACCACACTATCAATGCCTCTGTGCCTGTAACAGTGAGATGTAGCTACCAGGAGGAGTTTGAATGTAACCGATTTCTGACGTAGCTGCTGTAGTAGTTCCATCGTGAACGTGTACAAACTGGTCAACAAAGGTCATTTTACTTCTCTTTAAGATCACTCACTGTTAGAAAATCTATATTTTAGTGGTTATTTTTTAAACTACATCATCATTAGTTAAAAACACAGTACAAAAGCATTAGTGGTTTAAAAATACATGATCCTAAAGTGACGGTATTTTCATTAAAAAAAACAACTATATGACTGTGTTAAACATGAGTGTGAGGTACAGCAGCCCTTTGAACGGCACGTGGTGGTCTGACCTGGACTGAGTCATGGTTTATGTCCACAGGCCAACAGGAGCCATGCCCTCTTTAGTGGCCAGAGGGGGCAGCAGATTCTCCTCCTGTAAGTATTTCAGGGGGAAGTGGACCAGAAGTCCTCGAACCCCCTTCAGCTCCTGCAGGGCCTGATCACGGTCTGTGTCACACAGGCGCTCCTTGTTGGAGTTCTCCTTCAGCTCCTGCACGTTTTTGACTCCATCGCGTGGAAGACAACTGAAGACCTGGGACAAACAGGAGGACAAACAGGAGGACAAATGTCTGGTCAATTTTCATGATTCAAAAAAACACATTCTGCCTCAATGGACTCAACTGTTTCAAGACTAATTTGACCAGTCAATATTTTTATATATGATATTGAGTTTACGTTAACAAAACAACATAATACAGAATTTTACAACAGCATTTTGGAAACAGTGAAAAAATGAAAATAAAAAAAAATTAACAGGAAGAAATCTGCAGCAGATCCAGGATCACTGCCCGGCCTTCTGCCTCGGCAGAGAGGCAAATGGGAGAATGGGGGAGAGAACAGAGGGGAAGTGGAGGGGGGGGAGAGAGAGCGGGAGGAGCCAAACAACACTATAATCTGGGTACAGTCCCACAAGCTGTTAAATCAGAACAGTACAGTCGATGAGTGGAACTTCATCAGCAGTGTTTGGTGTGAAACCAGAAATGCTGAGTTTGTTATTTTAAATAAGAATCTCAACTCTGGTCGCACCTTGTCGTAAATGATGGCGTTCTCTCGCAGAAATGCTGAGTTTGTTATTCGTTATTTTAAATAAGAATCTCAACTTCGGTCGTACCTTGTCGTAAATGATGGCGTTCTCTCTAGCGAATGTGTTCCACACCAAGAAAAAGAAATGGTCACTGATTGGATCGTCGTAGTTGATACTCGGATCTGAAGAAGCTCCAACCAGGACGCTGACACAGGGACCAGAAAAGATCAGTCACTACTTCACACACACACAGGCTCCAATATTAAACACAGTGAATTAAAGTGACTTTTGTTCCACGTTACTGCAGTAGAAGGAGTTTTTTTTTTATCACTGTGACAAATGAGTGAAGGTGATAAATGCTGACTCCTGCTGTCCTGACCTGAAACACTCTTTGCGCAGAGCCAGAGTGAGCGGTCCAGCCTGATACTCCTCCCCTCCCATGATTGACGACACCCGCTCTTCATCCTCCACAAACACTGCCAACTCGCTATCTCTGCTGCCCAGCATGCTGCGGTCGTTGATGTTGGCTGATCCTGGAGAACAAGTGGAGGGCAACGAAAAAATGATTTTACGATGGAGAGAGGCAGAATAAAAAAAAACACATGTTTAATTTACAGGATTAAATAAAACTTCTCAAATACTTGTATAACCTTGATCAGTAAGTTTAGGTAGTACAGCAACTCCTGACTGGCAAATGAACACTAGATGCGTTACCGCCACCTACTGGGCTGGGGAGGGTGTGATTATATTTGTTTGGTTTTTTTTGTACCTTGCTCTGCGTCGCCACAAAGTTTGGGAACACTATAATTTTTGGGGGTTTTTTTGTACCTTGCTCTGCATCACCACAAAGTTTGGGAACACTATAATTTTCCAACCCTAACCTATAATCAATCACTACAAAGATTATAGATAACAAGTAGTACTATTTTTTTTTTATTATTTTTAATTAATTTCCCTTCATCCATAGTTTAATGATGATAGACTTTAACTTCACTGAGGACCGTGGTGTCATTCGAATTTCAACCAGGACTCAGGATCCAGATGATGATGCGTCTGTGGATGAGTCTGTGAATGAGTCTGTGACTCACAGTATCCAGATGATGATGCGTCTGTGAATGAGTCTGTGAATGAGTCTGTGACTCACCGATGATGTAGCAGCGGTCGTCAGCGATCAGGGTCTTGCTGTGAACGTAGATGAGTTCAGTGACGAGCGACGCCGAGAGCTGAGAGTGAGTTCTCAGGCCACAGAAGGTGATGTACTCCGTCCACATGTCTTCAACTGAGGAGCACAGCCACAAACGGACACGTCACTCAGTCAAACAAGTCAAACAAACCCGCGGCCAGTGTTCATCATCACGACACAGAACGGACGAATAAAGGGTGAAGATGAAGATGAAGATGGATGAAGTGATACCTAGTAACAGCAGCTTCACATTAATGGCGTGACACGGAGGAAAGAAGGGAGACGAAGAGACGTTAGAGAGGACACAGACGGTCACAGGTGAAGGTGGACAAATGTGACAGGAACTCACCTTCACTGAGTCTGGACAGGATGGAGTTTTCTCCCCTGCATATGGTCCTGGAATGATTCAAATCATCAATCAGGGTTTAGGTTTAACACACAAACAATTAAACCAGCTTCAGAATATATGTTGTTTTATGTCAGTCTTGCAGTTTAAAGGAAATCTTCTCTGTTGATTAATGACAAACACCATACTGTTCTGAGAAGATCTAGAAAGACTAGAAATGACCAGACAATTCTGTTTCCTGTCTTTGTTATCAACTCATAAAAATATAAAAATGAACTCGCAAACCCCTGTAATCCACACACGCTGACATGACAGTTTGAAAACTACAGGCCAATAACAAACAGTACAAACAGTCTGAAGCAGAGAGTCCTGGGTTCGACTCCCAGAGGAACCACATACTTGGCGCCTGTTGCAGCAGATCTGCTGTTAACACAAGAATTCCCCAAATATGGGATCAATAAAGTTTAAATTATTAACCAAGGGAGGTCAATATTGTTTTATTGGTTTTAATTTATCTAATTTCAACACTGACTCAGCAGTCTTCGACTTTCAGGAGCCAACGGAGAACAATCGGAGCCGGACGGAAAACGGAGTGCATCAAGTTCGTCAGGGTTGTAAAATGAGGAATTTTCTAATTATCTCTAATGTTCTAAAGATGAAATCCTTTCTTGGTGGCTGGTTAGTGAGTGCTGGTTAGTGAGTGCAGGTTAGTGCTGTACTTACCTGTAGGTGAAGTGTAAAATGGCCTGGATGGCGTTTCCACCGCCGGCACTGACGTCGCCTTCAAACCCAGGGAGCAGCGGGATCACCACAAACACCCTGTACTTCTTCTTCTCTCTGACGTCATGGACGTGAAGTATAAACACCAAGAGGAAAAAAAACATAGCAGAAAGTCAGAAATACAGTAACAGAGACAGTGACGAAGGGAACGAGGAGTCAGATCTGGACGGTCCCGTCTCTGCCACCGCACCTGTGAGCACGAAGGATTCTGTTGACGATGGCGTCGCCGATACCATTGTAGATGGTCTTCCCATCGGCACAGCTGATGAAGAACTGGTTCTGAGGGCAAAAGAGAAGGCAGACGGTGGCTGGGTATGAGGTTGGTGTTTAAACAGGCAGAACCAGAAGGCTAGAACCAGAACCAGAACCAGAACATTTTTGTTTTTTAAAATATTCTCATCCTTGGTTTTATTTTTTTGTTTTTTTAAATATTCTCATCCTTGGTTTTATTTTTATTGCCAAAGATACTGTTCGTTATTGTGTCGTATAACATCATCGTATCGTATGGTATCGAACGCCTCACCTCGATGTAGATGTAGTGCTCACTGTTCTCAATGGTGTGGATGTAGGCGTTGAGGATGGAGCACTCACAGGTCCCAGTCGACCATCGATCAGCAGAACGCAGCACCTGAGAAAACAACACACAGTTTCACAGTTTCACTTTTTTATTTTTCTAAAAGACAAATCTTTTTTCAGTCTGTTAAATGTGATTCTCAGAGCCGTGTCTCTCCTCGTGATGCTGACAAACGAGGTTTAGATGTGTTCACGACAACAGGGGAATTTCCCGAGTTCCCAGGTGAGAACTCCAGACGGTGACACCTGGTTGTACCAGCAGGAAACAGGACACTGGTACATTCACTGGCTTCTGAATGGATCACGTGGATTATGTGAAACTTCTCCTTCAGAGAGTCTGGAGATTCTATCAGGGAGATGGAACACGACCACATCTGAGGCGTGTCTGAAAAACGTCGTCACGCGGTGAGGTTCAACGCGCTGCCACAGCTGAAGGACGGCGGACGGCGTTCGACCATCGATACCAGGTGAAAACTGGAGCTGCTGCTGACTTTAATTCACGGAGATTTCTCTGTGAATTCACTGTGACTCATGTTACTACGGCGACACATTATATGGTCGGGGGGGCAGATAACACAAAACACTCACACAAAAGGGCCAACCACCGTGTTTTCCCCCACAGTCTGCCCCTGAAACCTGAACAAGAGAGCAACAGAATGTGATCTCTCCAGCAGAGACAGAGGCTGGGGTTAAAGTTACAGGTCACCGCCCTCTGGTGTGTACGACAGCAGAATAAAAACGGTCACTGATCTCACAAACACTTCAACATCGTGGCTGATTAGGAGCAAATAAAGTGCAGGTGTTTTATACACACTTTTTTTTGTGTTTTTATATGAACTGGTTGGGTGGAACCAGAACTAAAACTACCTGGAAACTAAAGATAATATTTGTGTCAGTAGCTCCAATAAATCTGACAATATGAATGAAAGGGGCTCAAACAAACAATTAAAAAATATTTTTTTATATTCATTTATTTAATATTATTATTTTTATTTATTTTATTAATTTTATTATTTAGGGGTTATGCACCAGTCCGTCCAGCAGAGGGTGTCTGAGATGGAGAACCCTGCGTAATTTCCTTTCTTTTGGTGCATTAAAGATGATGAATCACAGTGAGTTCAACGGCTTCCTGTTCTTCCTGTTCCCGACTTTCTCCTCCTGTCCACGGCATTTGTTTTCACTGCATCTTCTCTGCCGTCGGTGAACAGGACAAACATGTTTGAACTGATTCAGTTCCACCGTCTGTAAACCTGAGCCATGGTCCAGCAGCCGCGACAGCAGACCTTTGTTGTGGTGTAAACACATCCATCTGACTTCCTGTTACATCTGACCCTGACGACAATAAAACCGTGGCCCAGGTCTCCCTGGTGACCGTCTTGTTTGTTTACAGCGGCAGTCGCCGCAGACGTTGGTGACGACTCATGTTGAAAAAACCACAGAGTTGTTTTGGAACAAGTAGTGAAGTGAAGGTTTTTGTTTGTTTTTTTTACCACATCTGTGGATGAGCAGGTTGTTTTTAAATCGTTTATTTTTCACTAAATAAAACCACAGCTCGTGGTAAATCAGGAGAAAGTCCGGTTCGTCTGGTCAGTCAACATTCAGTTAGAACAAGTTCAGCCACTCACAAACTTCATACTGTCTGAGGAGAAGGTCTGGATATATAAACTACAACTATAGTTTTTACTTTATTATCAATGTGTTTTTGACTTCCTGTGTTTGAATGTTAATCAATAAAGTTTCATTTTTTTATCCTACGTCACCATAGTTTGTTTTTTTTCCATCAGGACCAAGACAGAGTAAAGGCAGAATTCAGAATTAAAAGTTATTTTCTAGATCTGCCCCCCCTGCTGGTGAGTCCTGCAGGAGTTTGTAGCACATTAATGGTGATGACATGTGACCTGATTAAATGTTTTAAAAATGGTTTTCACGGCTATGTTTAGATTTCTCTGTAAAGGCAGTGAGTGGGCAAAAAAAAAAAAAAAAATCCTCACTAAGAAAATGTCTCTCTCAACGTCTAACTTTCTCTAATTTATCTCCAAACTGCTCCACACGTGGACTCCACGTGGGCTGCATGTGTGTGTTGTTACCTGAACTCTGGCTTTACTGGATCCAGGCACGGTGAATGGAAGTGCGTCGGCCGTGCACTGAGACTTGGGAAGAAGGTAGGGGTAGAAGGTGTCCTTGTATTTGTTTTTGAAGATCTGGAGAGAAAAAAAAAACAAAAAATAAAAAAACAAAAAGATCTGGAGAGAAAAAAAAACAAGAAGGTGGAAAGTTTGACTTTTGGTCATTTTTATGAGGTCATTTAAAAATTCAGGCTCCAAATTAAAAACAACTTTGAGTTTTCATTCTCTGTAGTTCATAAACAGCCAGTAGAGGCAGTGTCCAGAGAGATTTGAACCTATACCTCAGTGGCACAAGAAAAATAGTTCCAACAGATGGTGTACCATACCAGGGGTCACCAACTATATTTTTCAGAACCAGAATTTTTTTTCCTGGACAGACGCTTTCAGGACCGGATACTCGAGTAAAATCACATTTTTTGTTCAATGTTATTATTCGATGTTTGGATTGAACAACTCAGCAGGCCTATTGACATAATGATTGTTTCCGACTGCCTAAAACTTTTGCACGGTACTGTCCAAAACACCACTGAGAAGACGTCATGGTTGAACAGTGACCTTGGTGAAGTTCCAGCGCTGGATGAAGTGGCGTGCCAAGTCCCTGGCAGCTCGGCCGTGAACAGCAGCAGAGAGGTCACGCCAGGGCATGCGGGGGATTTGAGTACGGTCAATGTTATCTGAAAAAAAAAAACAAACAAAACAAAAAAGCCTTCAGTCATGCATTTCTCTTTGAAACGGCCGTCTGTGTCTGACGCTGAACGTCACCTTCGAACGGTCTGTCCAGCTGCACCCAGTCTTTCTTGATGAAGTTGCTGTAGTCTTTGCCCAGCCACAGTTTAGTGTTGCCCGTCAAACTGTCAGGATCCTGCTCCGCTGCGTCTGCTGGTTTCGAACCATCAACCTCACCGTTGCCCTGGGCAAAAAAATAAAACAGTTCTTACAGCAGGGCTCTCGTTAACAACAGTCAAACAGCCGCTCTTGTTCTTCTTACTTCTTTGTTTTGTTTCTCCTCTTCAGTCGTCGTTGATCCCAGGTCGGTGAGTCGGTACTGACATCGTCGACTCTTCCGTCGATCCCAGGTCGGTGAGTCGGTACTGACTGTCGTCCCACCTCCCGAACGCCAGGTCTATTCCCCCGACAAAAGCCACGGTCTGATCGATGGCCACCATCTTCTCGTGGTGGGCCCACAGCAGCACCACGGAGGACACGTGGTCGGGGTGTCGCATCACCTGCGGGAGGTAAAAACCACGTGAGGCGTCTGTGTGTTGTCAGTCAGTCACGGTCAGCGGGGCACAGACACACACCTTGATGTTGGGGTGCATATTCATGAGGGTCCTCTTGCTGTGCTCACTGTTGATGCCGAGGGCCAGCTCCACCTCTTTGTACAGCAGAACACACACTTTGACTCCTTGTTCCTGCAGAGAAAGGTTTAAAGAGAAAAAACAAAAAAACCACGGTTGGATCAGATGAAACGACATCATTTCACTGAACTCTGTGTAAAAGACAAACAGGATCCTTACTGCTTTACGTCTGAGGATCTGGTCCAGTCGCCAGTAGGTGTCAGTCGCTGGTCTTTTCAGAAACACTTCAGGGCTGAGCCTGAGAGGAAAAGACTTTTGAGGCCGTGGAGACAAATTCATTTAAACAGAGACGAAAACATGTTTGATTTATAGTTAAACTTGAGCGATGTGTTTGATTTATAGTTAAACTTGAGTGATCAACATGAGAGTTCGGAATCAATCTGAATTATTAAATGACATTAAAGACTAATGTGCTAATTCTATAGCACACTGGTCGCAAAGACTAATACTGTTAGTTTGGGACAAATACTGGACTCAATTATTGTGGTCACATATTGCAGCGGTTAGCGCGCCTGCCTTTCACAGCAGAGTGCAGGGTTCGATTCCCAGAGAAACCAGTACAAGAATTAGTTAGAATTTCCCCAGTGTGGAATCAAAAAAAAAAAAAAGTTAATGAATAAAATATTATAATTCCAACTGAGTGAGGACTTACCACCAGTCAGTGATGAAGATCTCCTCCCTGGCTTGTTCAAGAGCATCAGCCAGGTCTGAGAAGTAGCCACTGCCATTCACATACCTAGAACCATGAGCACCACAGCAACACCACGAGGTCAGCAAAGGTCAGACAAAGACGGAATTTTGGAGTTGGTAAATAATCTGACCATTTGGTGAGCGTGTTCTGCCGCGGTGGCAGTAACCCATCGAAGCGCTGCACTTTGAGGAAGTCGCAGGATTCTGAGAGCTGGTTGATTTCGTGGCTCCACCATTGAGCCTGTCTGTAGCTGCTGCATTTGATGATCAGATTTCTGCAGAGACGAGAAAAAAACAGGGTGTTTTAGACCCACCACAACATCACCACCGGAGCCTGGACCCCACCCCAGAGATTTCACCCACCGTGTGAAGTTCTCGATGCAGACTCCATATTTAGTGTTGGTGTACGCTCGGCCCACTTTCACGTTGAACTCGGGGTCGAAGAGCAGCACAAAGTTGATGTAGCCGTTGTCTCGGTTCATGTACATCAGGAAAGAGTCTTTGACCACCAGCCACCGACGCGACCAGCGGAAGCAGAACTGGTGGTGACCGATGCAGTTCAGACCCTGGATCCTGTGACCTCCTGACCTCTTAAAAATAGGCCCTTCCCTGGAGATGACAGGATGTGACACAATCACAAACAATGACCTTGTTTACTTCAACTGTTCTTCTGTCCGAAAAATGTCCACTTACAAGCCTTTGGGTCCGAGATCAGTGATGAAGGAGAGCGCCCCGACAGAGAGGAACTCCAGCTGAGAGGA